ATATGCTCCCACTTGAGATCAGGGCCCTGTGAGACTGGTTACAGTTTCGCAGGGCCTGTAAAGCGAAGCTGTTCTGCCAGGCCTTTGGCCAAGGCGGCGGACGTCCAATTATTTTGACCTCCCCTGCTGAGACTCAGCCCTTGAAACCTGCCCATGTTACTGACTTGTCACTGCACTTCAGCTGGCGGACCCTCTCTTTGCTGTTGTTTTAACGCCACAGGACTTCAAAATTATTGCCAATTAGATCAATTTCTCTTTTAACTGTTTTAAGTATTATTGTTTACTAGGAAAAAGGCCAGTTGTTGAAATAAATACAACGACCTCTAGAAAGAGGCTCTGGGCGGGTGCCCCAGCCTTGGACACTCAGTGTCAATTTGCTGTGGCGACCTCAGCAAGGTATAATGACACTGAGTCCACCATTTTCTCCAGAGGAACTGATCTCTGCTACCTAAAGAACAGTTGTAATTTTGAGTGATCTCCAGCCCTCACCTGGAGATTGGCAACAATGGTTCCCCAGAAGGGAATAGTTGGTTTGGAGGGTGAAGTCTATAGCTTTGTACCTGTCCGAGGTCCCATGCCTCCTGAAACCTCACCCTCTCACGGCTCCATCCCTCACATCTCCAGGAATTTCCCACCTGGAGTCGGCAACCCTATCTTTTCCCCAGCCAATCGTCACCCTACCTTTATTTTCCCCTCACTCTTCAGCTTTCCACCTCCCACACACCTGCAGCCTCTCCCGTGCTCTGAAGCCCTGACTGCTACGTCACATTGGCTGTCATACGGGGGCCACCTCAACCGCATATAAGGATACAGAGCCCACCATTTTCTCCAGGGGAACTGATCTCTGCCACCTGGAAAGCAGTTGTAAATCTGAGTGATCTCCAGCCCTCACCTGGAGACTGGACACATTTTACCTCAGAACAGCAAAACTGTTTAGAATGTTAGAGGCAAAAGCCAATCAAGTCTGTGTTCCGAGGCAGAGGCCAATGAGGCTGTATATGCAAATAACCTCTGTGTTCTGACTGGCTATGGGGGGGAGAGGAACAGCAAAATATTTAGAATGTTGGAGGCAGGACTCAGGCAAAGCAGCCAGTGGATAGGGAGACGCTCTGAATGATTTTGGAGCGTGTGGAATGTTCTAGAGAAGTGCCACCACCATTCGGCTTTTATTTATATGGGAGATATGATTGTTTTAAACGGTCTAGGTATTTTCTACTGATGTTACACGCCCTGAGCCCGCCTGCGGGAAGGGCAGGATATAAACTGAACAAAATATATAATTAAATAAATAAGCCCATCCTCTGGCAGTGAATTCCACATTTTAATCACTCTCTGTGCCTTGAAGATCTGTGGGCAGAAGGAGGCTATATTTTAGCATGAATATTTGTGTAGAGCATGTTGGGAATATTAATCAATATTTTAATTTAAAATTAACAAGTGCCAGGGATAGAATCAGCATCAAATCGAAATACATTTGTATTAGGTTAGTCAGATTCATCAGTGAAATGGCAAAATGTTTCCAGTCTACTTTTATCACCACTAGAAAAGTTATTCAATATTGACCTAAGGCAGAGGTTCCCAAACTTATTTGGCCTACCACCACCTTTTCAGAAAAAAAAGTATTCAGCGCCCCCCTGGAAATCATAAAAGTATTTTATACTTCAAGATGTGGACAAAAAGATGCAGTGACAAATTCGCACATAGTAAAGAAAGATGTTGTTGTACATAAGACACTCTGAAGCTCGAAATCATAAAAGTATTTTATAAAATCAACCATAGTAACATTTGCATACGCAGAGAAAATGAAGATAACAAAGGCTGTGATTGGCTGTGGGGACTCCTCTCCACCTCCCTCCCTGATCCCAGGGAAGACCAGGAGAAGGCAGGAAAGGGCTGCTTTAAATTGGTCCTGGACTCTTCTTTCTTTATGCTTCCATAGCTCCATTATTTTTATTCAACGCCCCCCAATTGCACCCAAGGCTCCGCTCCTACCACCCACCTGGATCATACCAGTGCCCCCCAGGGGGTAGTACTGCCCACTTTGGGAACCAGTGACCTAAGGCATTAGAGTAGGAATGGGCTTTGTAGTTCATCTAGTCCAGCCCCCTGCTCAGTCCAAGAGATCCAAAGCCAGAGCATCCCTGATACAGCCTCTGTGCAAAATCTTTTATAAAGGGCAGGCCAAAAATCGAGGACATTACACATTTAGAGAAGAAATCATGAGCGTAAAACTAAATATAAAGAAAAACTTGGTTTTGTGATTTCAGGTTTCAAGAACAAAAAGCAAGTCAAACTGACAAATCTGCCTAAGTAGTATGATTAATGATACTGGGACTTGGGGACTTGAGTTCAATACTAAGTGCAACCATGACCTCAGCCCATGGCCTTTGTGCAAGATACAATTTACAGGCCTCATCTCAGTATCGCTTAAAGTGAGGATCAATGTTCCCTCTAAGCTGTGGAGTCTTGTAAGCAAAAATTCTACTCTGTGAGCCACTGGCATCAAAGTTGTGGGCAAACGATTTGGCTCCTGCATAAGTTACTCTGCTCTGGAGCCATCCTGCCTGAGCAAAGACAAAAAATTGTGAGCCGGAGGCTAAAAAACTGTGAGCTAGCTCACACTCACTCAGCTCAGAGGGAACACTGGTGAGGATTATAATCAAATCACTCAAAGAATGAACCTCAGGCTAAACACATTCATGTAAGAGTCTGGAGGAACAATCCCACAGAACCACCAGGACTTTCTCCTGAGTCAGCCAGAGTAAGCATAACTTTGAGTAAGCAAAAAAATAAAAGCACCCAAAAGGAAGATTTTTTAGCACAAGCAATAAAACCCTTTCATTGTTTCTTTGAGAAAGAAAGTCAATAAACTAACCTTAAATAACTAATGCCCCAAACTTTCCTGTCATGCCCATAAAGGTAGTGGAAGATATTAAGTGGTGGAGATGGAGAGAACGGCTCTCTCCCAAGAACGAAAGGACACTGATATCACACACCCTATTGCAGTCTGTTTTTGCACCCCTCAGCATGTCTATATACTGATGGAAAGAGAGAGAAGATGAGACCAAGCGAATGGTGCATGAAGGTCAGAAAGGAAAGAGAAAAAAGGATGGTGTGTGTGTGTGATAGCATGTTATGGTGGCTGAAAGACTAAACATTGAGCCAGTAAACCCCAATTCAAATCTCACCTCTTATAGATCTCTATGTATAGTCCCGCAAGCCATTCACTAGATATTAATTTATTTATTTATTTATTAGTTTGATTTCTAGCCCGCCCAGTCCACCAAGGCAGGCTCAGGGCGGCTCACAATGAGAACAATAGATAAAACAACAATGTAAAAATCAATATAAAATACACAGTAAAATTATTTAAACTATTATCATAACAATGGTGTTGCGGCTGTGGCAAAGTGCACATACAATGATACATCCACTAGTGGCGGGCTCAGGCTAGAATTAAAATTGGAACAGGATGAAGATGATGGAACGCAGCTGCTTACCTAAATGTTGGACGGAAGAGCTCCATTTCTGTGGCAAGGTCCCGCAGGGCCCTGATCTCATCCAGAAGCTCATTCCAATAAGTTGGAGCTGCCACAGAAAAAGCCCTGGACCTATTTGCTGAATAGGCTGATGGCCTGCTAGAAGGTTGATTCACACTGGCATCCCAACCAGCGTTCCCTCTAAGCTGAGTTAGTATGAGCTAGCTCACGGTTTTTTAGCCTCTGGCTCACACGTTTTTGTCTTAGCTCAGGAAGAATGGCTCCAGAGCAAACTAATTTATGCAGGAGCCAAATCACTCGCTCACAACTTTCATGCCAGTCACTCACAAAGTAGAATTTTTGCTCCCAAGACTCCACAGCATAGAGAGAACATCCTGCTTTTTACAATGCAGATGTGATGTTGGCCTTTCGAATATACATGCCTGTTTTGTACCCTTAAATGCCATACAGGAAGCACAATTAACATTTAGATGTATTAAAGCAATGCTTATTATTAATGATAACATAAAACCATAATTCCTGCCCTTTACAACGCAGACACAACTCTGACCTCTAGAGGAACATACCTGTCTGTCCTTTACCCTTAGATGAGACACAAGCAGCACATTAAATGTTCTAATGTATTACAATGATTCTTAATTTTATTATTTATCATTTTAATTAAATAATTCTGTTATTGCATTTCATCTTTTCTGGCTTTTGCAATGCAGGTGTGACTTTGGCCTCTAGAAGAATATACAAGTCTTTTACCCTCAGATAACACACTAGATAATATTAATTGTTCAGAAGCATTTCAGATGATGATGATGATAATAGAAGAAGAAGAGATTGGATTTATACCCCGCCCTTCACTACCCAAAGGTGTCTCAAGTCAAGTCAAGTCAAGTCAGCCTTTATTGGCATAAAATATCAGTACCATTTATACATTTTAAAACCAATTGAAAGCACACATATAAAATCTAAAAGAACCTTAGACGCAGCTTTAAAGCCAAGGAGAGAAACTTAGCCACCTTCTCTGTACCAAAGATGTCTCAGAGTGGCTTACAAACTCCTTTCCCTTCCCCTCCCCACCACAGACACCCTGTGAGGTGGGTGGGGCTGAGAGAGCTCTTGACAGAAACTGCTCTTTTTCAAGGACAGCTCTGACAGAGCTTGTGACTGACCCAAGGTCACATCAGCAGGTGCAAGTGGAGGAGTGGGGAATCTGACCTCTAGCAGAATATACATGTCTGCCTTTTACCCTTAGATATCATACAAGAGGCACATTCAATGCTCAGACTTATTATTATTATTATTATTTAAAGGGGCAGGAGAACTACAAAGTGTGGGAAAGCTGGCCAGAGACGCAAGGCGCAGGTCAGCAAACAAAGACGGAATTAAAGAGAGAGAAGGTAAGAGGAAAGGCTCTGGGTAGCAGAAAGGAGGATAGAAACGGGTGGAAGGAGAGACGAGCCGGAGGCACAGAAGGGAAGGGAAAGGGAGCCCTAAGCCGTAGCTCACCCGGGCCTGCCGCTCCAGCTGGGAATGGAGCCCCGAGGCCTTCAGCCTCTGCACGATCTGGGCAATGGTCAGCGAGAGGCCGCCCTCCTGGCCAAGCATGGCTCCCCTCCTTCGTCCACCACCAGCCTGCGAGGGAAGCGGAGCTCCTTCGCCCGGCAGCCCCGGCAGGTGGGTCTACGCAGCGGGCGGACACATTTCGCCGGCGCACACGCCCAACCCCGGCTCAGGCTTGGAAGAGTCCGTGAGGTGTTGCTAGGAAACGGGGAGGGGACCGGGTCCGATTCCGTAGGAAACGTCGCCCTCGGAAGAACAGTTCCCCCCCCCCCCCACCGCTGCAATCCCTATAGGGCGCTTTCATACGCACTACGTGACCAGTGTTCAATCCACTTCCAGTGCACTTTGGAAGAGGTTTTTGCTGTGTGAAATGGCAAAAATCCACTTGCAAAGGGTCGCTGAAGTGGATTGAAACGGCATTATTCAGCATGTGTGAGAGCGCCCATAATGTGACAGCCTGACTTCTACAAAAATTGCAATATATTGCCACTTGACAGAGCTCTGTGGAGCACCTGAAAGGCATTGTTCCTTCCTTTCGTCCTGCACAGAAACCAATGAAATGTAAATAGCCTTTCAAGATTACAGCCGGGAGTGGGTGGAAATCAAAATCAGCCATACTGACCTAGCAGTAAAACCCGCTGAGCTATGGGGGACTGCTTTCCAAATAAATGTGGATAGGACTGGGATTAGAAGGAGTGAAGAAGTGTGAAAGCAATAAAAGCCTAATGAGCGGGTGGGAAAAGGAGAAATAGTACAGGCAACAGAAATCTCAATAACTAATTCTATTAAGTATTCATTTAAAAGACTTCATTTAGCTCACATAAGCGATGACCTACAAGCAATAATCTTTTAAGTGAAACCATTGCAAGTTTGGTGTAGTGGTTAAGTGTGCGGACTCTAATCTGGGGAAACCCGGTGTGATTCCCCACTCCTCCAGTTGCAGCTGCTGGATGACCTTGGGCAAGCCATAGTTCTGTTGGAGCTGTCCTTGAAACAGCAGTTCTTGAAAGAGCTCTCTCAGCCCCACCTACCTCACAGGGGAAGGGAAAGGAGTTTGTAAGCCGCTCTGAAACTCCGAGTGAAGGGTGGGGTATAAATCCAATCTTCTTCTTCTTCCCTTACTTTTCCTTTCAAAGTGACCCTAAGCAGAGTTACGTGGCCATTGGAGACAATGGGTCTAGAAAGGTGTAAAGTCTAGTTTATCTACAGAATACACTGACCAGGTCCTCTGGAGAAAATGGCACCTGCTGAGGGTGGACTCTCTCCGTGGCATTATACTCTGCTGAGGTCCCTCCCCTCACCAAACCAGCTCTCCCTAGGTTCCACCCCAAATCTCCAGGAGTTTCCCAATCCAGAGATGGCAGCCCTAGGAGAGACCCATAGATGTGTCCTGCTCCTTGCAGGCTAGAGTTGTCAACCTCCAGGTGGCACCTGGAGATCTCCTGGCATTACAATTGATTCCCAGGCTTCTCCTTCATTAAGAAGATAACACATATACACATATAGAACAATGTACACACCCCAACGTCTCAGCATTCTGAATCATAAGAGAACATAAGAGAAGCCAATGTTGGATCAGACCAATGGCCCATCCAGTCCAACACTCTGTCACACAGTGGCCAAAAACACCAGGTGCCATCAGGAGGTCCAGCAGTGGGGCCAGGACACTAGGAGCCCTTCCACTGCAGCCCTCTTTTTTATATATAATTTTTATTTATAAGTTTATAAATTGTATACAAAACAGTAAACATATACAAATTGACTATGCATTAGAGTCTGTTATTTCGTTCTTTCTCAAGCCATTCATACAGTCCCAACCACCTTTTCTCAAAAACCGTTTCATCTTTCCCCTGTAATAATACATTCAGCGTATCAATTTCTGCTACACTCATTAATTTGTGAATTAGTTCCTCTCCTTGAGGTATTTTATCTGCTTTCCAATATTTAGCCCACAATATTCTTGCTGCCATCAAAATGTAAATTGTCACGTATAATTTATCACTTTTGTATTCCTTTGGAATCATATTTAAGAAATAAATTTTGGGCTTATGTGACAAATCTATTTTTACTACTTCTCTTAATATTTTCTGAATTTTTTCCCAGTAACTTTGCACTTTAATACATCGCCACCACATATGAAGAAAAGAGCCTACGTTGGTTTTACACTTCCAACAATTCCTTGAGCAGTTTGGAAAACATTGTGCAATCCTTTCCGGAGACCAATGCCACCTATGGGTTATTTTAAACACATTTTCTCTATATGAGGTAGCTCTCATACTTTTAGTAGTTTTCCAAATTTTAAGCCAATCGTCCATTTCAATACCGTGACCTAGATCTTTCACCCATGATATCGTATTGGGTCTAACCAGATCATCTGCCATAAAGTCTTCTAGTAAAAAATTATATACCTTCTGAATCATTTTATCGTTTGATGATAGCCAAATTTTGTCCTGTTCATTTTTGTTATCATAAAAACCTATAGCCGCATCTTTATAGTATATAGATTTTAGCTGTACGTTCTCCCACCATGTAAATTTGACATCGTGTTTTTCAAAAAGTATCTCTTCTGTTTTTAATTTATTAGCTTTATCCAGCAAGATTTCATAGGATTCTTTATTAAATTCTGTAATAAGCGAAGGTTTAACAAAGGCTTCTAGAGGTGAAACCCACCTAGGTGTCTTAATATAAAATTTTCCTTTTATCTTATTCCAAGTATTATTTAATGCTCCTCTTAGTAAATGATTGTTAAAGTTAGAATGGATCTTATCTTTCCCGTACCAAATGTACGCATGCCAGCCCATACTTAAATCGTGACCTTCTAGTTGTCAGTCCTCTATTATTTTTCAATTCAATCCAGTCTTTAATCCATCCTAGGCTGGCCGCTTGATAATACAAGTTCCAAGTGGGAAGACCACATCCTCCTCTTTCTTTTATATCTTATAACGTTTTGGCTTTTATTCTGGCTTTTTTAGGGTGCCAGATGAATTTTCTAGCTATCTTATCCAGTTCTAGCAAAAATTGAGGTCGTTTTAAGACTGGAATATTCTGCGCCAAAAACAAAAATCTCGGAAGAATATTCATTTTAATGGTAGCGATCCTACCCATAAATGAAAGATGTATATCCTTCCATTTAGTTAAATCTTTATTTCTTCCAAGAATCTAATGTAATTATCTTCTATTAAGCTGCTATTTCTATTAGACATAATAATGCCTAGATATTTAACTTTTTTTACAATTTCCATAGCTGTAATCTCTTGTATTTCTTTAATTGTCTTTAACGTACATTTTTTTTGTTAACTTAGTTTTTTTAAGGTTGATTTTTAGACCAGCCGCTTGAAGCCGTCCATGCTTGTAGTCACCACCACCTCCTGTGGCAGTGAATTCCATGTGTTAATCACTCTTTAAGCGAAGAAGGACTTCCTTTTATCTCTTCTAACCCAACTGCTCAGCAATTTCATTGAGTGCCCAAAAGTTCTTGTGTTGTGAGAAAGGGAGAAAAGTACTTCTTTCTCGACCTGCTCTATCCCATGCATAATCTTATAAACCTTGATCATGTCACCCCTCAGCTGTCATTTCTCCAAGCTAAAAAGCCCCAAGCACTTTAACCTTTCTTCATAGGGAAAGTGTTCCAACTCTTTTATCATTCTAGTTTAGGGTTGCCAAGTCGGGTGTTGCGCTGCAGCAGGGGACTCCCGGCTGGCGTCTTGAGCGAGCGCGCACACGTCACCCGGAAGTGCCGTGATGACTCCGGGCACACTGGGGGCGGGTCCAAAACCATCAGAGGGAAAACCATAGAGTTTTCCCTCGGATGGCCATGGCCCCGCCCCCAGTGCCCAGCGTGGTCGTGTCACTTCCGGGTGACGCGTACGTCAGAATAGAACTCCCCCCGGGGCCCGATCCGCCTGATCCCTGGGGGGACTTGGCAAGCCTATTCTAGTTGCCCTCTTCTGCACTTTTCCCAATGCTATAATATCCTTATTCCAACAATACCAAGTCGTTAACCATCATGAAATTATCTCAGCCATTGTTAAAATTAAAACTACCAAACTATTCCATCTGCTCTAGGGTTGCCAGCTCTGAGTTGGGAAATACCTGGAGATTTTGGGAGTGGAGTCTGGGGAGGGTGAGGTTTGGGGAGAGAGGAACCTCAGCAGGGAACAATGCCATAGAGTTAGGGTTGCCTTTCCTGTATTTCCATGATGTGTAGTGCTTTCATGCCAATAAAGGTTTTGTGTGTGTGAGTTAGGGTTGCCTTTCCCCAGCTGGGCAACAGACACACGGGAAACCTGGCAAGGTTGAGTAAACATGTTAAAACAAAAACACATCATTCTGATATGCTACTATGCCTTCATATATTCATTTAATTCATATACTTAAATATACAATAAAGACCCTAGTGCATCTTATTAATTATAATACATTGATAACAAAAACCTAAAGAACAATATATATCTTGTAGAAAAGTCCACAGCTACAGAGAAGAATATGCGGACAGGATTCAATGCTGTAGACTATCTTGCTTTCAGATGAGAGAAGCAGCAGTCAACAATGCCAATATTGTAGGCTGTTTTGCTTTCCAAAAAGAGATACAGCAAGCATCAAAGCAACACGCCTCCCATGCAAAAGTTTCGTGTTTCGAGAAATTTTTATTTTCTTCAGGCAAACTATTTTTCCTAGAACCAAAGTTCACAATGCTACCATGGTACAATGCACAAGTCAAACAACTCTGTAGAAGGCTTCTTTGGCGTTTTTCCTCGTTTACTCATTCCCCAGTTGGGGGCAGGGGATCCTCCATGTTTGCAGGCTCCTGCCTGGTGCCAGCCAGCCAGCAGGCAGGAGAAAATCCCCCAGGAAATGATGTAGGCACATTGGTGATGTAGGGGGGCGATGCTCTGGGTTTGGGGCAGAACTGTATGGTTTGAGGCTGATTTTACCATAGAGTTTTGCCCCAAAACCAGAGTGTTGCCCCCAAAGTCTCCGACACACCTACGTCATTTCCAGGTGACATAGGCACATTGCATGGCATCACTTCTGGTGATGTGGGC